CCTGACGATGAATGACCGAAAACGATCGTTTGCCAACACGACTTTTCAGTCTCTAGTCAGCGTGGAACTCATAAACAGGCTGCATCCAACTCTTGCAGGAGACTGTCAGAGCAACACAATGGGTATGGTATGGAAAATCACTGAGCGCCGACTCGTTCGTTGCACAGGCTTGCGAATAAGATGGTCCTCACATTTTGACCAGACTGCCTTGCTTCTGCATCAGATGTGAGGGCACGGAAAAATCCCACAGAAAGTAATGTATGCCAGCGTTGTGCACCATTACAGACAGAACTGAAACCGATGCATCTGCCTCCTCAGTTTTGTCGGCGAGATCTTGGCTAGTGCTCTTTTCGGTCGCCAGACATAGAAGCAAACCTCACCCAGAGAATAAAATTGGTCTTAATCGGTCATAATGGGCGGCTTACTTATACAAATATTTACTAGACTTGATTCCAACCTGCCGCTGGTACGGGGGGTTCGGAAGCGACAGAGGGAATTGGGTCGTCCCAACCCACATCCATCACTTTGTTTTCCCAGAGTAAGTAAATCCCGATTTTAAGCTGTGAAGTCATGTTATCTGTGGTGACTTACAGCTGCCTGTAAGACTGAATCCTAGCCAGTATCGGGGTTTGAACTGTAATGCAGCTTTCTTAATATAGTTTGTACAGTATGCTCACCTATTTGAGATCCGAGACTTCACTTTGAAGCCTGATCTCTGTGTGCCAGGCGTACGCCTCTCCTCAACCTTGAAAGTCACCGTGCCAGAACCCATTTACAGTTGTCCAAACTTTATTTGACCCATTTGTGAAAAACTCGGCGGCCTCTGTGGAATTCGAATTGACGCCAACAAGGTGGAGATTTTAGTACAGCCAGTGCTCTAGCCAACTGAGCTACGAGGCTCCTACCGGAAGTCGCGAATTTAAACCGTGATTAAATTCGGAATTGAGTATTCTATGAATACGATGTATCGTGGATTTCTTACGCTAGTTTTCCACATTAAGTACATTTGAAGATAGTTAAGGCCATATCAGTTCTTTCCTTGAAGATTAGTAAGCTATATGTCGACCTTAGCAACAGATACTACCTGACTAGATGAAGATTCATCTTTGATAGGGAAAAGTAGAGACGATTTCCCACAACATATTTAATGTTGTTAACATACTTTCAACACTTCTGGGCACCGTTATCCACTGTAGCTAGTATTTTTTTGAGTAACCCCATGATTTTTGTTGCATACTTTTCCATATTTCCTATTTGGTCACACATTGTGAATATTATAGGTACTGCAGGCTTATGCAGCAGCGGTGAGGAGCAAGTCGGGTGCCTGCATTGTTGCTGTTATCGGCGGCAAGTTGTCCGAGGGCATCAACTTTAATGACGACCTCGCACGGGCTGTCGTAATTATCGGTCTGCCCTACCCGAACGTTAACTCAGTCGCAGTAAGTCTGCACGAACTTCTAAGACTTTCCTGAAAGTTTTGCTGATAGATAAAGGAAACTCCCGTCTTGTTGAATCTGTAAGCAAGAGATTCATTTTGCCACATCGTGTTTTTTCTCTCCTGTGAAATTGAGTGCCTTATGTCAGCTTGATCCGTCAACAAACTAAACTGTAGTTGCCTTTATTGGTGAAATATGAGGAAATATCGCAACGGCGCTTTGTATGGGTTCTGGGCAAAGCAGCCGGCAAAAGATATCGTGGTCGGTGATTGGCTACCGTTTGATGGCAGGCCTTTTCTGATTTATGTCATTCCTTTTATTTCCCACAGTCTGAACTTACTTTGAAACCTGATATACTATACGAGGTTTTAAAACGGCACCGAAAGCCCCTTAGTTTTTACTTGACCATCAGCACACTAGTTTTGATGTCTGGAATGTGGTTACAAACACTTAGTTTTTAGGGCGAATCCATTTGGTTATTGCCCCTAATATATCAAACAACACAACTGGCAGAAATAAAACCTTTACATTCCCATTTTCTTGAACTAAAAAGTTATTGCACTCCTAGCCGTATGTCGAATTGAATGACCTGGTTGGAAGCAACGATAAAGATTTATCGTAGAACCGCCCTAATGGCAACTCCCCTCCCCCATTCCACGTTTCTTACTGATTCTTAGCTGAAGGCGAATGAAATAGTCGCGCACAGCGCTGGCCGTATAGGTGCGTGATGATTACGCAAGAAGAAAGAAATTAAAACCGCTTGTAATTGTTTTACTGAACTAAAATGTAGGTTAAAAGGCTGTATTAAGGTCAGGAAGGACTGAAAACGAAGCCTGTAGACCAAGCAAAATATGAGAACAATTCCTATTGGTTACTGTTATCCGCGAAGTGATCGACTAGGTATAAATTAAACCTGCTGAACGTTTGCAAGTAGTTTTTTTATTATTTATACCTTGTCTCAGATGGCCCTACGATAAACCCCTACCGAAACAACTACCTAGCCTAATATGAGCTTCGTTTGTTTATATTACTGTCCCCGAAACTGCTTTTTAACTCCTTGTATTGGTTGGTTTACTGAATGCCAGCATCTGGATGTGTGAAAGGCTGTCTCAGAATGACACTCTTAACCCTTCGGTGGGCACTATGCCAGGAGGAACTGGGCAACCTGTTAAGTTCCGCACCGGCGTGCTTCTGTTGCCGCTGTCAGTTTCCCTCCCAAGGTTGCAAGTTACCTTCACGCTGCCGGCATTTTTGCTTCGCTTCAGGTTGAAAGACCAAGCGTTTGATTCTATGCATGCGTCTATTTTGCGACCTAGCACAAGCATGTTTCATAAAATGTCAGAACGTAGGTTGGAATGAACTTCTTACTTACAATGGCATAACACTTTTCAGACTTTTTTGGCAAATGGCAAGGCTAGGGATCAATGAACACCATCGTTGAACCTCATTTTTTTTACCTCTGGTGCTGGCAATAATGCGTTTCACTAGGCAGAATCCCACATTAGTACCTCTTCAAGGCCTTCAAAAAAGTGCGCACGTGTTACTCCTTCTTACTTTCGGCATCAAAGTTTGTTCCTCGTTTTTGTTTCACCGAAAATGACTGACCGGTCTAAATCTTCTAACGTTCTTTAAGAAGCGGGCGTTTTGTGGAAAAGGAATCAGCGAAATCGTGTACGAATTATGTTTTTCAAAATATCTTCCCGGCCGGAATCCACTTTTTTGCATCCTGCTCGTCCAAAATTGGGCTCGTTTTTCTCAGCTGACAGCACATTTAAGAGGTGCATTCGCTTTTTATTTGGTGTAGGCCTTTACCATTATTCGGGGAATGATTTAATCGGAACTGCTTCTATGTCGTCCCTGGAAAAGACTCGGAATACAGTTGGTATTTTACTAAATTCTAGAAGGGGTAAATATTTCTGTGTCCTTGCCCAAGCCCAAACCTTAACCGTAAACCTAATGCTAAGCCTACCCTACCCTAGCCTTATTTTCAAAGTAATTTAACGAACGGTCACTTTTCCTATGTCTGCCGGGTGCTGGGCACATAAGCAATCCCCCTAATGACTTCAAGACAGGATGATACAGTTGTTAACAACTGTTGTGGCTTGACCTGGAATTAGGACTCCTAACCTCAGAACCATGGACTGTAACTATGCTCAAATACCACTTAATAAACTAGGGATAAAACCTTTACCTGCATTCGCACTATAAGATCACAACACCCTAGGAAGGTAAATACTAATTAATGAAAAAGTTCGCGTTCCAGGTATCTGCATGGATAAGGAAGAAGACTTGTCGAGCACTGGATCAATTTGTTTACTGTCCTGAGCTTTTCAACTCTTGCCGGACGACCCCTGACCTCACTGACAGTTATTTAACACTCACCACTATAACTGGCATTAATTAGTGTATACCACTATAATTGCCTCCCCCTCCTTTTTTGGTTGCTGTTTCTTACCTCTTGACGCTCCGATGACCTCTGACAGCCCATTATAATTGCCGCTTTTTTTGCTGTTTCTTATCTCTGAAGCTGGACGTTTGTAAGCGTTTGAAAGCTCGGGACAACAAATAAATTGATTCAGTGCTCGAAAGGACATCTTTCTTACCCAAAATAAACAATACTTTAAGTTGCTTTTGTGAATTGTGTTCCAGTGTCGTAGAAACTGACTGGTGTTTGTGCTCTTTTCTCCCTCCCTATTCCCTTTTCTTTCAGCTGCGTGAAAAAATCAACTTTCTTAACCGAAACTTTTCGAACCCATCGGCGAAAGCCCTCAAATCTCAGGAAATGAGTGTAAATGCAAGTCGATCGGCGGAGGAGTCTTCTCGCCTCACTCCGGGTCAGCTCCTATGTGAAACTATCTGTATGCGCTCAGTAAACCAGGCCATAGGACGCTCTGTCCGGCACGCTAAGGACTACGCAGCCATCTTCCTGTTGGACCGACGCTTTTCTCGTAAACAGGTACACATGTCCCCTCCAAGAATATCTACTAGGGTGTCTCGATGATATTAAAGTGTAACACATTATTACGCAGGAATAGGAATCCCTGCCCTTCAATACAGGCTGCCTTTCTCTTCCCGTATCCTAACCCAAATCTTATCACTACCTCCTATCTTAAACCTAAGTCTTCGAAGTTAAACCTAATCCTAAACTTAATCCTAATCTGACCGCGTTGACACGGAGCAAAGAAGATATCGCAGTTATATAAAGGGCCATGTGATAACTTCCATAAATGGTTTGTACTCCCGTGTTAAAGACCCAACCCCGACGTCAACCCTTTTCCAAGCCTTAACTCTAAACATAAAATTAGCCCAACGTCGACTCTAACGCTAATCTCACGGGAATTCAGAGTAAAAATACCTCTATTACTCGGGTGGGAGCTGGAAGGTAGTAGCCAGTTCCTATTCACGCTTCTTACCAATGCAATGCACCTGTTTGCCATGGTTGTTTTAAGATCCCGAATGCTTCATAAGCTTGCCTTTCGTCCGTAATTGTCTACAGTCAGCGTTCTTGTTATTCGGACGAGATCTAACTCGCGTACAAAAATATCCACACAAGATGATCGAAACCTGCAGTATGGTGCGCCGTGCACTACTATGTTTATTTATGAACTTGCAGTTAGGGCTTTTCAGTATTCGCCGTTCAAACTTTGATTCCCCTTGATATGGATTAGGATGACTTGTCGCCGTTAGCTTTTTCCTATGACGCTAAATCGTAGGATCTTACTAATATTGCCTTTTGAAATGTTGGTCAAAGGTCCAATTTATTGTCAATCACTAGTTCTACCATTAAGCCTTCTGTATTTCATAAATTAACCGATGAGGCCAGCCCTTCTTTAAATCTTCGCACTTTCTGTAAAAACCATTTTCCTATTACATAATTATAGGAAAAAACATGTTATTAAAAAATTCTAACAGTAAGCACTCCACAATCCTACCAAGTTCAGTATACTCTTTATTCAGATGCTTTTCCGGTAAACCTATCACGTGTCCGGAGAAAAAAGTACTTTAAATGCCGCGCTTAGTTACCATTCGAAAAACCCTGTTTTCCAATGTATCTAGATAATCTTTCCTTTTGGGCCAAAAACTGCATTTTCTGAACTCCAGGCCACGTTATTCTTGCCTCTACTGGAATTTAAAACGCCAGCACGTCTGACTTAATTTTAGACCGTAGTATCATGACGGGATCAGGTAGGGAAGTGTTTTTTTAGAGTAGAAATTCGGTGTTTTCGAGTGAACTTCAATGCCCGAGTACTATTTTACGTGCGCTTCCTTGATGCAACCTTATTTTCAGTCTTTATTCGCCTCTAGTAGGTTTCAACGATGTAATTTCATGCACGCCTCGGACCCTCTACCACAGGTCGTATTATTTTTCCCCCAAACACAGATATAAACGCGGTGGTCAAATAGGTATACCCAAGACGGTCTGTCCGACTGTTGACACTTTATGGGGCTGGCGGGAAATTTGGAGAGATCCTCCCACTTCTGTCGATGTTTTTTCCCCGCGTTTCAATGATCGAATTCACAGTTTCCACCCTCTTCAACCATTTTGATTCTCTAATTATCCTGACAAGCATTGCGCGTCACGCGAGGCGACCGCTTGTCCGTTGCAAACGACGATGTACGTCCAGTGCTCCACACCAGAGTGATGGCAAGGGCGACGACTCTTTATGAATCTGCCACACCCTCTCCCTACACTCCTCGGTCCCGTGTCAAGTCAAGCGGGATCTAGCCGAAGAGCCCGTCTACACTTGTCACATACGCCTAGTACGCGCACAAGAGACCTGGATTTTACATAAAGAAGACAGAGGCTCCTCTGATCCCAACCGAATGGGAGTACCACAGAAGCCAAATTAAGAGGGAGTCACCGCAGTCTGACTCTCCGTCCTAATAGGAAGACCGAGTTATCCAGTTAGTTGCAACTTTCCGAGCCACGACTCTTTAACCCACCGTGATCGATTAAAAGGCATAAGGTTATCTATAGTGAGGAATTTGCGGTGAGTGCCGTGGGGACGGGCTTCCAGAGTCCCACTCTCTTTTCCGTCTCTGAAACACCAATCTACTGTCCAGATCGATCAGTTACGTGATGCGGAGATTGTGCGCAAGTGTTTGGCCCTGCGTGAGCCTACGCCTGTGTGTGCCATAAGATCTCCATGTTTGGCACCCCAATAATTCCTTCTGTGTCCTGATCTGGCCCCGCTATTGGTCCAGCGTATCTACCGCGTGGTCTGTTGTAAGGATAGTCCCATAAGATATACCGCAGGCAACTAACAGGCTCTTTTCTAAATATCTGCCTCTCTCCATTCCTCTGCCTTAATTCATGTAAACTCGGAGATCACAGAAATGTCCGGTTCCTTGTTTCATTTTGTGTAAAACTCCCATTTGTGACCTGCTTGACCACCCTCTTTCCCTTCCCAAGGTTCTCAATGGCCTTCCAACCTGGGCCCAACCGGCTATAGTTCAACCTCCACCTACCGATCTTTCCGCCCTCCTGAACCAGCTGAAGGAGTTTTTCCTCAGGAACAAGTCCGATGGCAGCTGATTGTCTGTCCTCGGCCACCCCACAAAGCAGCATGGCCTTTAAATGCCGTGCTCAGTAACCATTAAAAAAAACTCTGTTTCCTCATGTCTCTAGATAATCTTGCCTTTTGGGCCAAAAGCTGCATTTATCTGAGCTCTAGGCCGCTTTAATCTTGCCTCTACACTGGACTTTTGTTTTTTTCCGATGCATTTTGCGGCTTTCTCTCGCTCAGCAAGCTGTCTGCCTCAAAAACCAGCAACAAGTCTCGACCAAAAGACACTACCTGCCTGCCTATTCTTCTGTTTTTTTCTTTTGGAATAATATTTCGTCCACCAGGGGGTGGGGGGGTGGTCAGAGATAGACGTGTATGCAGTTTCTGTGTACAGCTACTATCAGTT